ACACTCCCCAGTTCGATGACCTATTCGGCCGGTGGAAGACTTGGAAGTATCGTCTCACACAAGTCGGAGGATGCATTGAGTAGTGTTAGCGTTGGGAGTATTTTGCGCAGTACTGGCGAAGTGGATGACTACTTCTGTGAGTTTATATTTTCGCCTTGTGATTTGAAAAGTAGGTTCTATGTGTTAATATCCCGTACTTCGCGAGGAACTGCGATTAAAAATTATCATTCAAAACGTATACGGGCTTTCAGACAAGGAGCCATCTACTAATGCTATTATCGAATTATTTTGCGGGAATATTTAATTCTTAATGCAGTATTTAATGTGTTGCGACAAAAAACCTACTACGGAATGGAGGAAATCCCAGTGTCTGCATAACTTTACGGCCCCTAAGTCAGTAGAAGGCAGTGTTTCCAAGTATGAATTCGTGACAGTGGTTTTTTTATGATGACAAAGTATAAATAGGCTCAATCTAAAGTCCTGAAAGTTAATTAACAGATCACATTCTAACACTGGAATGGAATTATCCCTAATGATTTCGTCATGCGCCTACCATGTACGTAAACTTATCAGAGTTAAGAAAAAACCTCACAAATATAATTCTAGACAGAAATGGCCATGCAAACAAAAAATAATCATTTAAAAAGCACTAACGGTTCGGTGAATGCCTATTGCATATTTATACCGAAAGTCAGTTCCTTGCTAGGGCGAAATTTTCATATAAATTTGCTTGCAGCGGGTCTTCAAAAATTATGGCATTCCCCTCGGAACATGTGATTGCAATTTTAGATAAATTTCGCGTGTGTAAGCATAAGTGATCTGCATATATTTTAAAGGGCACGTTTATTTCTACTGCAGATGTCCCACTGATCTTGCACTGATAGGCAGAAATGTGCTCTAGCTTACATGACGGTATGTGTCCTCGGTAGGTATAAAAAGCCCGCACATACTGAATTGCAAAGAGGACTTCAAATTGTAGACGAATCGCAACGCATTTTTTCGCATTAATCGTGATAGTCGCGCGCCTTCCATCAAATTTAACAAATAATACAGGCCAATTTGGCATCCGTTTTTTCTGTTCGCAAAATCGTCGGTAGAATTAGTATTTAAAACCAGAATAATATGACCGTTGGGCTAGTTACTGCTAATAATTAAACTTCAGCAGACATTTGAAGTGTTGAAAGTTATAGAATTTTTTCTAATGTTCACGGATAGCATCCAAAGTATGGACATTGTTTACTGAACATTGGAAGGTTTTATCCGTTTTTTGACCTGGTTATGCGTCCATTCAGGATGAGCAATTTTTTCGCGAGATTTTCTTTTGAATATAATACCTCTCAGAAAATGAAGATGCGATCACTGGATCGCATGCATCGTACGGGGGTGTATGCGATCCGAGTACTGCTACAGTCACTGCTAAATAAAAGGACTTTCAGCAAATACTGAACGGCTCCCTAGGTTGATTAGCTAGTAGGATATCGCACGCAATTGCGACATCGATTGGACACAGTGGCCATTCGACTAGCGAACCTAGCACTCTGTTGTCATAAGACGCTCACACAAGCAGTCTGTCTGCCCTGGCCGGACTCCAGACGGTGATCGCACACCGTCCCGATGCCCTGAGAGCATTCACACGCACTTGGGGCGCTTACAATCTAACCGGAACCCCTCCCTCCCTCCCACCCCAAATCCACCGTCCTCAACACGCTGACTCCGTCATGCGGGCTGCGTGGAAACATGGAGTCCGATTAACCCTGCCCCTGAGACGCATTTATATCCTGTCTACAATTAGAATGATCGTTACCCATGTAAATGCATCGGCCTGATAATGAGTTACCGAATACATATGTTCGTCAACTGACGTAATATGGGAATTTTCGCAGAACATACATCTTAACTTATGCTTGATATCATCAAAGAAAAGTTTTGAATAGGATGAAGGGCAGTTACCTGGTATTCTTCAAGTGTTTGACCTTTGAATTCGAGTCGACCAATCAGGAACGGGCGCACATGGATCTGTTGGCATCTCGAAGCAAATAAGCTCCATATGGGTGATGAAGGACAAAAACAGGCAGCCAAATTTCATGTGCCGTGTACGAGCACATATTTGTGTGCTTGGCCTAAGCTGGTATTCAGCGTTATGACATGCTGAATGAAGGCAGAATAAGCACGAAAGAATGCAGTTTCAATTTACCCGAAATCTTTGCCATACCTCCTCTTTAAAAAAGCAGACCTCATAATTCACAGACAGTTAAAACGATGCCTGATAAATATCTTCTGCGATTCTTGTTTTATCAAATTAAAATATGCCTTTTTCCTACACACTCGATGACATCTGAAGTAAGAGTTGACCGCATCCAAGTTCATCCAGGTTACGTTTAAAAGTTTTGTGTGCTGCGTTTTGTAAGCTTTACTTTCTTACAGAGGATGTTTTGTTGCACTTACTTGTTTTTAATATTCCTTAAAAATGACTCTAGATTATAGATCAGAAATTATTGTTAATTTTTCAAATACCAATTAGACAGTGGTTATATAACCGACATTAAAACTGTAATAAATTACAAAGCAGTTAAAATGTATTAGCAGCATTTGAAATTCAGAAAATTAATAACATGCAAAAAGATGGTTGTATTACATACGTCTAAAGTTAGAGAAAATGTTCCTTCCAAGTATAAAAAAGTATTATTTTGTTTACGCCAAATTTCCACTAAACATCAGCTGGGGGAGCCTCCATCTGCGCAAAAAATTGGAATGGTAAAAAACCTAATAATGTCACTTTAACTGCTAAATAAATTTTGAAGAAAATACTTCTATCCTATCCGACATGAAATATTTGCACTTTTTGCCCTCCTGCAGTTTTCCACCACTGCTCTTGCGCCTGATATTTATTTAAGATGTTCATGCCGTGCACAGCTTGTCATGCGTGTTTTCAGTTGTTATACCTGCCGTCGCACCGCGATCTGTCTGCCTACGATTAAGTATAAAAACGATAAGGCATAACAATAAAGATATACCGGCAGACCGCGAAACAGTGATCTTTATACTCTTTATGCAGAGTTCAGGCTTCGGTATGAATCCAGGGCGTTCATTCCTGTCAGAACATTGTGTCGCCTTTTTCATGTCGTCATAAATGCCGGCTTTTGGTCCCATTTCAAATTGCTGACTAGACGACGGTTCATTCTTGCCTTCCAATAGCAGCTGACAGCTTATTTACAAGCACACCTTCATCGGATCCACTGTGAAGCCGAAAGTACATATGTGGAGTGGATTTTCGTCTCTCCATCAAAGCAAAACTCTGCTGTTACATGTGAGACGTCCAGCTCTTCCGCGAAATTAGAACAGGCCCTGCTGGAAATGATCTCCATCTGTTCTTTTAGGTGATCACTTACAGAACCGGGTCCTTGAAAAACCGCTCTCGGTGGGCCGTTTTTAAATGATGTTCACAGATTAAAAACAGTTTGTGTTGCACAGCTGCTCACGCGTATGCGGAGAAAAATTGTTTCTATCAATACTGTAGGCAACCTAACTCATGAAAAGTGTCGAAATTTACGATTGCCCCTCACTCGCAAACCGGCACCAATGCATGAAGGTTAATTAAGCACGACTTTAAAAGGATTTTAAACAGATGAAATATTAAAGACAATGTTGCCTTGCTTTGAAATGCCGTTTTTTCAAAAAAAGCGCAAAATCCCTAAAATTTCAAAATGATTGCAATTCAACAAATCTTGTTTTGGGGTGGGCGGAATCCCTTCTCGTGCAAAAGACTGAGTAAATATAAAAGCACAAACAGAATGACAGGCAAAAATAGTAGTTTAGTGAAGTTTACGTTGGCGGCTTGCCAACAGCCTACAGTCTGAGTAAGATTCCGTAACAGCTATCCAGAGGTTGTTGATATTCTTCATTCTTTTGTGTTTATTGAGGTGCGATTCAATAAGAAAAACGGAATTTTGTTTGGTTTCACCGATGGGGACGTCATAAGGACAAAATTTTTCATAAGGTCACCTTGTCGAATAAACTGAACGTATACAATGAAAGTCAGAAACGAATATGCATTAGATAAATAAGAAAACTTTTACGAATAAGTGGGCTCTTTAAGGAGTGTTTTTATACTGCAAATCGTTTATGGTTCTTGGTGTACATTGCATTTTTGTACAGTGAGACCAAGAGAAATCTGACACTTTTGATCGTTTTTGAGTAACAACACTAATATTTCTTATAGTAAAAGTAAGAAAGTGCCTTTTTTCTTGATTTGCTGCAACTCGCACCGTTTTTCCCCCACGTTCTACTCCGTTCTACGACCATGAATGCACGGCAGAGTGGCCAAATAAATATTGGTATTTTGCCAAAACTGCCAACATCTTGTATGTCCAACTAATCCTGTATAAAAAAACAGTTTTCGCGTCGCGGTAAGGTACCGAAACTGGCAAATATTCTTCTGAAGTGCCCGATATTTAAAGTATGCACAGGCACCCAAATTTTCTTGAGAAGAGGCTCACAAATATGCTAGTTTGCGGATAAGTTAAGAAACTATGACAGTGATATTTCGATCTGAGTACTATTCAGGCCTGAAAACGACAGCAAACGTGTACTCCTGCTAATGCCTTAGCAAAAAACCACATCACTACTAGCTACTGGAAAGGGAACGCACACAGCGCAGCTTACCTCAACAGCGGAAACGAATACTCCTTAAAAAAGAAAAAAGACGTTTCACATGAAAGATTGTGGGAAATTTCCAGTGCTTCTCGCCCTTGCGAGACGTGCGCAGAAGCCGAACTGTGCACACGAAAACGACTGAGGCCCACATTGGTTTATTGTTAACGTAAACAACAGAGGCATCTGAATGGCATGCCTTAGGCAGAAAATACACTTTCGATGTTGTCGCATTAGTAGTTAGGCCTTTACTTCATAGACTACAGATATAATTCACTCCAAATTCATTTATTTCCGACGGCAGCATGCTTAAGGTCATCGTTTTTATGAGGGCGTTTCCCTATAAATAAATCCCTCTTATGATTTTCTTCAATGACCCTCAAAACTTAAGGGAAAGTTTTGACCAGTTATTAATGGCTGTTTATTCAGTGGACTCAGATAACCGAGAAACGCTTTAAAGGTTCGCCTGTTAAAAAATTTATAGTTGTGCTTTAAACGAAACGGAGCAAGAGCACAGCGTAACTTCAAGAAGTCAGCGGTTCCACTTGGTTGGCAACATGTGTTTCATGGGAGTTGCCTAATGCCCATATTTGAGGCAATTCTCCCCCTTCAAAAAACATGATACCAGAGTAGTTAAAGAGTAAGTCTTGAGAGTAGGAGGCGCCTATTTTTCTGAGTGGGCCAAAAATATTGCCAACATACGCGAGGTAATTTTTTTATCCTCACAAGCTGTCAGTTGTACTTCGAGCTCACAGCTTACAGATCAAGCTTTGCCTTTTCTTCTGATACTGGGTGAGAGGAATATCACTGCGGTTTTTTATGTATTTGAACGGAGAAAAATCAGATGGCTCTGAGGGCTTGCAGTATATAGTTCCTTTGATCGTCTTTATTAGTGTCAGCAGTACTGCCAAAGAAAAAAAACATCATAATCTATTTAAGGAATGACAAAAAGTTGAAGAGTAATTTAAAATTGAGTTTGTTTCTTAATCGAAGCAAAGATATGTTTCTCAATTAGTCAATTTCCAACCTTTACGACCGTTACGTATCATAAACATAAAAATTTATTTTTGATGCTTATATAGGGGGATTCTCAATGTGCGGAATGGTTCGTTTTGAAACTTGCATTGCCCTGGAATACAGTATATCAAGGCGTGTACCGGGACCTGGGGATAAATAATTTACACGTATTAGGTCTATCGATGCCACGCATTAGATGAGTGAACGCACCTAAGATTATTTATCCCTCAGTAAGTTGATGTGATCTGAAGTAAAATATATTTTATCATGTATTTTCCAGAATTATCCAGGTAGAATGCCCGTCGCAAATGTTTGCACACGTGCCGTTTTTTCTTCTAAGGGGAAGCATCATCATCTTTGTTCCTCCCCTAACTTGCAGGTGTTAATTCATTCGATCGTCTTTATTAGTGTCGGCGGCGCTGCCAAAGAAATAAATATCACAATCAATTGAGATATTGACAAAACGTCGAACAATTATTTGAAATTTGGTTTTTTCCTAATCAAAGCAAATCTGCGCTTCGGAATTGATTAGTTCTCAATCTGTACGACCGTTGTTTATTGGTTACATAAGAATTTATTTTTTATGCCTACCGAGAGGATGCTACCTTTGCGATATGGTGCGTATTTCTCTAGAATCCAACATATCAAGGTATAAAGCAGCAGCTGTGGATAAATAAATTACATCTTGCTTGTGTGTCCACAGTTTGCTCCACGTGTTCTGCCAAAGAAGGGTTTCTGCGCTCTATATGATGTTACGCATCAGATGAGTGAACATGCCTAAGAGTATCTTCCTCTCAGTGAGTAATTGTTACTTAGTCGCTTTTAATAGAATAGCAGCTTTGTTCGCATACCGCGGTTGTCCTTGTCAAGAAGAATGTTCATTTAACAACTTAGAGTTATGCGCTCGTGGTAAATGTTTCTCGCTAAATATAACAAACGCGCCTTAAAAACTGGTTACTTGCTGTCATCCCTTGCCTACGCAAATGTCTTTTGTTGCTATGCCGTTGGCAAAAACGTATTCACTCGCCCGTAAAATTTTGCGGAATTTTTTCACCGTGTCACCTCGTCGAAAGAGTATGCCGGAAGCTTACGTTCTCTTTTTGACATTTTTACTACGTCATTCCTGCGCTTGCTTCTATTTTTCCACGGCCTCCAATTTTCAAGTGTCCATTAAGACCCCGACTGAATCGCTCAGCTTGAAGTCCAACATTGTCCGCAAAGATTAGCAGTTTGCGAAAATGAGGGAGAGAAGGTTGTTGTTTTAAATCTGCCTGCAAATACTGCGGCAAAAACGTCTTTCAGTGACCAGAACCAGTATACCAATAATTAAATGCAGGGAAGGAGATAGATCTGCAAGCACAAAATGGTATGACTACTGCGCCAAAAGCTGCGTTTCTGGAGTTCAGTTCCTTTACACGATATAAATCGCGCTACCGATGATACTCATTGATTTGTCAGCGTCGAAAGGCGCGCTGCATTAGGAGAAAGGACTTTACAACGGCTACTGCGTAGGCCATCATCGACAGTTGCATTAGCAAATCAGTTGACAGAAGTAAAATGTCGTCGCACTGTAGTAAGAGACCCCGTTTAGGAACGAGGGCTTGCAAAACGTAGCATAAATTGAGCATGTCCTCGTTAAATAAAATGTTAAAATAAAAAGAGAGTGGTAAAACAATGAGAGAAATAATGCAGGTATTAGTAAATTATCGGGTTAACAGTTTAAAAGTATGATAAGAGCGTAACGTAATAAGAATTTACCAAGAAAACAGTCTATGCCCGAGTAAATGAATCGAAATCGAAAGCAAATGTACTGTTCGCACTTACCTGTCTAGAAAAAGGACATGAAATATACTAAGCTTGCTTTGAAACAGAATAGGTTACAGGTCTGTTTTTTCGGGGTACATAGGAAAAATGGTCAATTTATCTTTGTTTACCTTGCCCTCATTTTAAAACTAAGACTTGCTAAGAGTCGCGACAACAAAACTTTGATTAAACTGCATTGTGAAATATGCATGGACATTATTTGTCAAAATTTAAAATAAATTCAATTCTACTGCCTTTCAAAAATGCATATGATATTTTATTCATTACAGTTGAACTGGATTCAAATATGTTTCATCATGTTTTTTCCAAAATTATTCAAGTAGAATGCACATCGAAGATGTTTAAACCCCCGTCATTTTTTCTTTCAAGGGGAAGCATCATCATCTTTGGTCCTTTCCCAGCTTGAAGTAAGTTTTTGCTTTGATTATCATTTGAAATACAACATAAAGTTACATAAAACCTCAGACGAATTGTACAAAATGGCTGAGAAATTTGTAATGGAATAAAATTACCCGACATTTTTGTATTGGGAGATAAATAAAAGTGATAACACATGCATAACCATTTTTACTTATCATCTAGCGAAATCCTATAGATATAATTTAGACCTTTTAAAAGCAAAAGATGTCGAATATTTATTGTTGTTTTTGTCTACTAATTTACGGACTTCCTTACGTGAGGAACCTTAGAACTACGATCGGTTTATAAAAAACCGAAAATACATCATAGGTTGGCAATAATTATTTACTTGATGAAGTGAGCAACATTTTAGTAATTTCGATGAGCGCGACCTCACAAATGTCAACGTAAATTTCAATTTACATAAAGGGCTCGAGACCTAAAGAAATAAAATTATATATGCGTTCCGATTAAGTAGAATTCAGTTTACTAATAGAAAGCGCATTATGGATAGTCAACATTCGGACAACATTGCAGTTAATACGGGCAAAATATTTTATTCCAAAATTTGCGAAGATAAAATTTACTGAGAGCTACAAGTAAATAAATATTGTATCGGTCTTTTGAATGAGTGTGCGTAATATTCTGACATCATGAGTAAACCAAGCAACTGTTTTATCACATTTTCTTTGGCGGTAGACATACTTTTGAAAGGAACAACATTCTCGCATAATATCCTGCAGTTTTTGTCTACGCTTATGTTCAACATGGCTTTCCCTCGCATGGCCACGAACACGTAATGAGAGCATGCTATTTTGTTTTCACTAGAAACTACCCTTGAAGGATTTTTCCTCCGAAATCCGCGCAAACATGGATATCAAGTTGTTCATTAAGGAGGCCACACTTCTTCTGAACCTTGAAGCCTCCACGCTGGAGGACATCATCCACGAGATGCTGACGGCCGTCTTTAGTAACACCACGGGTGCTAGCGGGGGCCTCAATGGGGACGTCATTGAACACAATTCCAGCCTCGCTGTTGGCGGCCATTCGACGTCTAACTTCCGGGTCACACCCGTGAGTAGCCCCACAGCTGCCGACAGCGCAACTCTTCCGCACGGCATCTCGACCAGCGAACTGAACAGTCCGACTTCTGAGGCTCTCCCAGTGGATACTTTAATAGAGAAGGCCAAGAAAGCCTTGTTTCTGCAGATCACACTGAACGAACACTCATGTAAGCAAGTCAGAGAATTCTATAAATTCGAAAATATCTGCTGATGTTCGAAAGCATGGCTGGGTCACACAGCTGATAATTCTAATATTTAACATTCGTTATCGTTTATGTTAAATGTAATATAAACACTAAAGCTTTTTACCTAAGGTGCACCAGATACTTCAAAAGGCAGGGAAAAGTCAGTAAAAGGATTTGATGGACAAAAGATAACTTGGGAAGTAGACAGCGATACGGCCTGAGACATGCGATTATTGGCGACTTTTGAGTCAATTCGGTTATGACCCCTAACACGGTGTTTGAATGACTCCACAGTATATATTAAAGACTGGGGATTTACGGAAAACCCACAGTGCGTTCCGCTATAAAAAGCATAATCAATGGATTTTCATTTCTCTGCCCATTGTTTTTTCTTTTTTTGACGACAATAATTTTGCTAGATGCAATTGCAGTTCGAACGTCTTTTATTACACAACTGTCGATAATTGTGCCATGATTTCAATTACCGTAGTTATTCTCGTCTTTTATTTACATTCTTTTTTTAAGGCGGGTTACCTACAACCAGCGAACGGTATGCGTCAAACATAACTTTGTGAAAGAATCAGTGGCAGAAACACTGCCTTATTAGCATTTTTAAACTGCCTCAGTGTACTACAATAGGGCAAATTATCCCAGCCTTTTATCTTGAGTTACGCGTCCAACGTTGAAAAACTGTCCACCCTCAAGAAATAAATTTGCGTTCAAGATAATTAGCGCTCAGTCAATAAAACTGGGCGTTGATTTGGGCCGGCAATTCAACCAGCGTTGCAAAAGGCGATGACACAGTTGGTTGAAACCAATTAAAATGCATGGAGTCTCAGGGAGTGATCGAATTTATTAGACGTTGGCCTTCATTCTGAAATGAAGTTTCGATTAAAAAGGATTACATAGGTAGGACTGTAGTATTAACTACCATGCGGCACAATCCCACAATACTTCGGGCTCGCAAGGATGACGGCTTTTGAATGCACGTCTATTGGACCTTCGCCGGAAACGCAATCGGCAAACAAATGGCTAATTAATTAGCGTGCATTCTTCACTTTGATTTTGGACGATGTTTTAAAACTAGATATATGTTATACATAAATATAACCTTTCTTCGGATATGCAATGCAAAAAAATGTAACTGTCTATGAAGCGAGTAAACGATGATATTTTTTATGCATGTTTTTTTATAAAATATATCTGAATTTATAAGACCAGCGAAAATAAATGCACAAAGCATAATAATTAAGTTGTCAATTTTTGCCCAGGGCATTATTTACCGGAATTCTAAAGAAGGTGTATTCAGAAGCACACCCCTGACAAGCCCGAAATATCATGGAACTTTTCCGCGTGATAGATAGCGGTGCAACTCCACGTCAGTAATCCTTCCTAAGCAAAGACGCGTTTTAGAATTTCGGCCAACATTTAAAGAGATCAGTCAGTCATTGTATGAAGCGTGAGTGTGTTTTTACTTGCTAAAACGCCATCTCCCAAAGTGGCTGTCAGTTTACGGCTTTGCCAAAAACGCCAAATAGTCATCTTATCTTCTGAAGGCTAGGATAAGCTTGCCAAAAATAAGTCCAGAAATCCTCTCTAATAATGCAAGTATACGTGACTTATTGCGTATCTAATAATATGGCAGTTCTTTTAACACCTATACAGTGACGATTTCTAAACCGTCCGATTTAAATTTTCACAGTTTGCGGTTCTTTTGTGCTTGCGATAGAATGTTCATTTTGTCTAAGAAGAATTTGTAAGCCCTTTTTTATTTTCCTGAACACAGACTACCGTCTATGCAAGACCATAAAGGCTGTCTCAGTGCATGATGATGATCAGATGCTTACGGATCAAAGTTGGATTTGCGCCTTGTAAGTCCACTTTGTTTGAGCTGTTCTCTTCTTCGCGGTTATTTGCAGTTTTCAGAATCTTCCTGTGCGGAGGCTGCAATAGCCAAAAGTCGTAAAATTTATAGCGTGTAAGGTTGTGTCACGTCGATCCCAAATGTTAAAATGAATGTATATTCTCCATGTGAAACTGGCGTATTGCCGATTAAAATTCATTTTGTAGGTGTTGAGCACATGCCACTGCCACTTCGTACCTGACTTGAAATAGCCTATATTCCCTTCTTGCGTTCTGGGGCTTGTGCAACTGACTGAAAGGACTGCCTCTCAGTTTCTGCGTTTACAAATTTACTTTTTGGCAGTCATTCCTCGAATCGGTGCGATCACCAGCGGGCATCCATGTTAGTCATTCCAAGGATAACTAGGAAGTCTTCATGAAGTTAAGCAAAAATCGCCAGGGCTATTTCAAATTAAAAGAAAAGTAAAATAATCCTTCAGCTGCGTGATGCTTACATGTTCACTTAACTGCTCAGAATAGCAAAAGTAAGAAATCCCGGATTATAATCTGAGGAAAATGAAGGGCTCACCGGATCGAAAGACTTGTTCAAAATTCTGATCGATTTTTCACTAGACGCTTTGATAATGGAAAGCCGCCCCAAGCTCTTTGAAACGTCAGCCGAACAAGTCTTTCGATCTTGTGAGCATTTTATTTGCCGTAACTTAATTGCCTTTGTACTTCAGAAATTTTTGAGACCATGATCCAGGTTTTACTTGATTCAGATGTCCATCAAAATAATCACAAAACTCAATAACAGGTTCATGTTAAGGAAATGAATAATAAAACTTTATATAGGGAATAAAAACTGCAAAGTTTACGGATTTCTTTATTGGTGTTGACTTTAGACATAGACAGCAATGCAAATGATCACTACTTAATGTAGTAGATTTGCGTTTTGCATCCTCATGTAACTTACCTTCCTGGCAGCGTTGTCATAAAAGACGCGCCCAGGGAGTTAGCCTAGGCCGTATCATGGTGAAGATGTGGTACAAGCCAGTACTGCTGCCTGGATAAACGTCGACAAGTTTTGCTCTCATCCTGTATACTCTCACTAGTCAATTCAAGGTTTTAATTCCCGACATATCCTGAGGCTAACTGACCAGGTCCACGTGACATACATATGCGTTTTCTCGTTTTTAGCTCCTATTTTTCTTCATTATTGGGCATGACTGGCTGATGAGGGCTAATAAGCCAGAAATGGTCACTCCGATCTCCATTGTCTTTGTCGGTATCACCTTATCTACATATATCACTAGTCGCTGTGCGACTGCCTGCGAGAGTTTAAGTATGAGCCCTGATCGGTGAGCGCCCATCTGTCATAATTCATATTCCCGATCACAACCGACAGGACAACGGGCCCGTGGCTCAATGGTAGACTGTCAAACTCAAAGACCAAAGATCCCGGGTTCGAGCCCCATGTGTTCCACACTTCGAAGTTGGGTATGACTGGCTGATGACGGCTAATGAGCCAGAAATGGCCACTCCGATCTCCCTTGTCTTTTTAGGTATCACTTTATCTAAATCTAAGAGTAGTCAAATGATTTTCTTTCAGGTATTTCTGCTAAATAACCTCTGCGTATTTTAGCTATGGAAACTTCCCAATGCTCGCATCGACGATTTCTCCGGTTTAGCGCATTGCACAGTCAGATCAGTCCGGTGGAATTCGAAACCGATTAGGCATGGAAGAACAAATTCCTAAATCCGCTATTAAATCGTCAACTTCGTAGACAGAAGGCCTTTGAAAACTCCACCATCAAGTGCATGCTTGTCGACCATAGTGTGGTGGGTATTCGTCCTATCTGTGGAGATGCGTGTTTCCACCTATGCAGCCAAACTGATTCGAGACAACGATAGGCTGTGCGACGCACAACTAACTCTGAGCTAGCCCGTTGAATGGTGGTAGAGGGGGTTTTACGGGTGATGCAACTCACAGGACGGAGAGCAAGAAGATATAGTAAATAGATAAATTTCTGCCGACAGTCTTATCGTACGCTGTAATTCGGCAAAGAAAGTTGGAGTGATAATTAAACAGTGGACCAAAAGCAATTTTAACAAAATAACGGACTTTGAATAAAGCGCTGCTGGTAAGTTTGCATGTGGACAGGAAGGGAGGAAATTTAAAACAGTGGAAGCGGTAAATAAAAAGAGAGGTCTACAGTAACACTGAATTTTGAGAGCATATTTTTACAGTTGCCATCTGTACCCTATCGTTACCTGATCCGATTGCCGAAGAAATGATAAGATCTTAGTTTTTGACGCCTAGAAAAGGGTTACAGCCAGCACACCCCTTGAATCTGCGAATAACGGATGTTCATATTCGTTTGCTTGTTTTCAATTGCTACAATTACATAGCGGGCTTTTTATTGGCAGTTCTTGTTAAGACAAAACCATTGGCCATGGATTTATTCTATCTCTGACACGCATACCACGGTGATTTTAATACATCTTAGTTAAATTAAGCGAAAAGTCGGCGAAAACAGCTCCAACGCACATTACGAAATGAGCGAAAGTTGCTCATTGTTCTAAACCATAAGCCACGATAGGTCTAGGTGTATCGGATTGGGAGTTCGTATTATGCACAGTACGTCCCCAAAGAAGGATTTACAAGAATTTATTTTCCCAAAGACTGCTCTACGAATCCACTATGAAGGAAGTCTAGTCCCCTATTGCAAAATGCGTTTTCATGGCATGTGACTTCTCAGTTATTGAGCAAACGTCATCGCAGAAGGGTGGGATGTCGACTTCAGCATGTTGCGACGACGCAGACCAAAAGCCGAGCTCCAAGAAGCCGATGAAACAAAAGACACGCAGTCCGTAGAACCTCAATTTTTATCCATTTGACCTTGGAGATTCTCTCTCAGACCATTATCCAAAAGAGTTCCACGTGGAGGAGGTGAACTCACAGGTGATGAAACATTTATGTGATGGAGAAGCCTCGCAACCAAACACCTAGTATAATTAACAGCTACCGTATTTAGCCCCGAGGAAATAGAGTGAATGACCGATCTCATGAAATTTTGGCGGAAATTATGGAATTCGTTTTCGAGTAAGGAAGGATTGCTTAAGTACGGTGGCAAAACCGATTATCTCGTGGCATTATCCTATAATATTTCTGACTCGGCAGGGTGTCACCTTTTGAATAAACGGTTTTTCAGTCTTCTGTAGAAAGCATCTCTGTAAAAAATGTTTTTTAAGTAGCGGGCAGTTTTTACATTGATTTTTGACAGTCTTGAAAATCTAAATATATTTTACAGAAATCACAAACAAAATATTCTTCACTTCAGTCGTTTGATAGAGAATGGCGTCTTCTTTGTATTTTATCCTCGAAAGGGGAGTATAATTAGGTTTTGAAAATGTTTTCTGATTCCCGAATAACTTGGAGACTGATCAGTCGTTGCGTTAGCCCTCAGTAAATTCAATCTACGATGTGCATGCGTTTCGCGTGGGGAAAATTACCTATTTTTCTATGTCTTTAAAAGGATACCATACAGAGTCCAAAAAATTATGTAATGGATGCGGAATATATCGCACATTTCATGAGGAGCAGTGTCAAACGCACAGGTACGATGTTCTATAAATGGAAATTGCGCGGTCTTAAAAATTTCATAATTAGAAACTTTTTAAAGCCTAATTATACTCCTTGTTTGAGTATAAAATATAAATGCAACATGATTCTCTATCCAATGACTGAAAAAAAGCACACTTGCGTTCGCGATCTCTATAAAATATATTTGAATTTGTCCGACCAGCGAAAATCAATGTGAAAAGTGCATGCTACCTAAGTAGTCATTGTTTACCGAGTATGGTTTCTGCAGGAGACTGAAAAGCAATACATCCAAAAGCTGACATACTGTCGAGTCCGAAATACTATACGATTATGCCACAAGATAATCAGTATTACAAAGGCGCCTGGGTAATCCTTCCTAATCGAAAAGGCATTTCAGAATTTTAGCCAACATTTTATGAGATCGGTCAGTCACTATAGTTTTCCGCATTCATGTCGTCAGCAGTCGCAGTCTGATCACCAGCGTTAATTATTTAAGTCATTTTGACAGACGCTTCTGCCTAAACAGTCCCAGCACTGAAAATTGTGGGCCATCCAGTTTGCCTGTAGATGAACTGCAGGTCGAAGAAGTAGGACACTTCGTCAGTTGGCGCGATCGCACGCGACACAAGAGCCCGAGTCGCATCACTCGAGCAGAATTATCAGTCACGCAAGCGATCACCACTTTCACTGACAGAATCAGTGAACCGAATTGTCAAGTCTTCATCACGCCACTACTCAACGCTGGTGATGGATCAGCGGCAATTAACGAGCAGGTCATCATTGCATAAAGTACGACTATCTGCGTTGAATGCGGAAGCTGATGAATATGATAGTTATGTGGGAAAATGACAGTCGCCTCCTGTTTCTACTGCACCCCTTGTGCTTTCATCATGTTCACCTGTAAGTACTCTGAGTGATGGATTCAAATGGATATTCAGGCTCTCAAATTGCGTCCTCTTCGCATAAGAGTATGCATCCGTGTACAGTTGGGATGACTCATGAAAACGACGACAACTAATGCGCTTGATCAATGCGAGAGGCAGATCGGGGTCCGTCAGGCATTTCGGAGAAGGAGACACGATTGCTAGAACAAGTGCTTTATAAACCTGACGTTTCGGATTCTCACTCGTAATGAAACATTTGTTCCAGCGACTGTTTCCCCTCGTTTCGTAGCCCTACCTGTTAGAGGTCAGGTATAAGGGTTAGTGTTAGTGCTTGGAGTTATGTGTAAGGGGTTAATGTTGGGCGATAGGGGTTAGGGTTGCAAGACAGGGGCTAGGGGTTGGGGTTAGGGATCAAGGTTAGAGGTTGGACGTTAGGGACCAGACCGAGGTTTGTCTACTGCGGGTACGGCTTCGAAATTAGATCCAACCCTCGCCTCTTTGCTTCCGTCAGGCACTGTCGAGAATGTGCACCCATTAGAAAT